AGCATCCAAGGAAACAATTCCTTTGGTGTCACAGCAGAGGCTACCCAAATTAGACACCAAACTATTAATTTTTATTGCATATAATATTTTGAATCTTGCTAATAAAGTTTTTTCTCTGGTTTTGGCACATGCTTTTGTGTTTTATTTCCTAAACTCCAAGCTTCAGTCATATGTGCACACACAAAATACCCAGGTGCTCCTATTCTACTATTTGACTTTCTACTCAAAGGTTCACTCATAGTATATAAATGAGATACATATATTCTCCAAAATTGGGTCAAAGAAAGTAGATCTGATCCTAATCTTTGGTATTCATAACATTTCTCTATGGATGTGGGGGTGGGGGGTGGGGGGATAGATCATTCTCCTAGTAGCATAAAGTCTTTGGAATTTTATTACCAAAAAAAACCCCACAAAAATAATTGTGAAAAATATTGCCCCAAACAAAAAGAATCAGCTGAATAAGGGTTTAGGACAGAGGTTCTCAACCTGTGGGTCGAGACCCCTTTGGGGGTCGAACGACCCTTTCACAGGGGTCGCCTAAGACCATCGGAAAACACATATATAATTACATATGGTTTTTGTGATTAACCACTATGCTTTAATTATGTTCAATTTGTAACAATGAAAATATATCCTGCATATCAGATATTTACATTACGATTCATAACAGTAGCAAAATTACAGTTAAGTAGCAATGAAAATAATTTTATGGTTGGGGTCACCACAACATGAGGAACTGTATTAAAGGGTCGAGGCATTAGGAAGGTTGAGAACCACTGTTTTGGGAGAAAGCCCCCTAGTGCAGTGGTCGGCAAACTGCGGCCCCTTGAGTGTGGCTCTTCCACAAAATACCACGTGTGGGTGCGCATGCACAGTGCGATTGAAACTTCGTGGCCCCACTCAAGGGGCCAAAGAGCCGCATGTGGCTCGTGAGCCGCTGTTTGCCGACCATGGCCCTAGTGGACTACACACATCGACAAAAGGGGACTCCAGAGAGGTGACAACAGCTTTAAGTGGAAACATTACATTTAAGGACCAAGGTAACTCTCCTCATTCAAAAGTATATTATGACACTTAGAAAACGTTACGTATAAAGGTATTCCCAGGATGAAAGTTATATAAATTGCACCATCTACAAGGCCTCTAAGAAACCGTTTAAACTTAAGTTTTTCTTCCACACTTACACAAATCTTCTATGAACCCTGGGGAAAAACTGCCTTGTTCATCAATATATGTAGATACACTCTGATTTTTGGAAACAAAAGAAGATAGGTAGCTTCCTAGTAAAAAGAGGAGTAGTAACACTAAAAAGAGAAATAACGGTATCGCTATAATCTGATATGCTGATCCAGGTGAACAAAGGGCATGAGAAAATGAAACAACATTTTTCAGAGGACAGCTGACCCTGTCACCAGTAACACACCATCTTTTATGACTAAGTAATAAGGACAACTGCCAGCTCTCACCTTGGGGCTCATCCATTTTCCTCACAGCTCCATTTCATGAGGCTGGAGAGCCGGGGTAAACATGTGGGCCTTGTACATTTGTTGTTAAAGAAAAATGCGAAATTTTGATGGTTTTTAAAAGTCTCAGGAGAAAATTTAGGAGAAATGTCCTACGAACTTTGGGTTGGAAAGATCGTTCCAAGTCTATCACTATGAACACAAATCATAAAAGTTCATAGCTATTATTACTATTTTTTAAAAAGCACTTGAAAAATACTGACAACTTATAAACCTGAAAACAGTATAAATGCAACATATTGTGCTAAAGTCCAAACTCTTTCAAATATGATTAAACAAGAAATCCAAGGGGTTAAAAAATCTGTTTAAAAATGTCTGTGAACTTAATAAAAACCACTGAATTATATACTTGAAATTGGTACATTGTATGATATGTGAATTATACTTCAATAAAGCTCTGCAAAGAGAAAGAAAAAAGGAAAAGATAATCTATGCAAGTAGATAATCATGGCAAGAAATGAGCTGCAAATAAAAGTAATGACCTTTTGCCCAAGACTGCAATATATGTAATGCCTACTGCCACTGATAAACTGATTTACTCTTTCAGGAGGCCATTTTAAAATATGCTTTAATATTTTAACCATTATAACCTTTGAGGCAGAATTCCATTGGGAATGTAGTTTTTTCTTAATACTTATGTGATAACTATCAAAATATATATTCTCCCATTTATCAAGTTTGGAAGAATGTACATAAGCATTGTTAGTCATAGTTATTTCCAAGAGGTTCCTTTGCTTATTTGATTTGTGTCAAAATTCCTGTTTTACAATGGCTATCAGACTGTCCTCAGTATGCCAATGTCTGTGGCAAAATATATATATTTTAAAGAGTTTTTTTTCTTTTTCATAATTATCCAGTTTTTTTGTTGTTTTGTTAATCCTCACCTGAGGATATTTTCCCGTTGATTTTTAGAGAGAGTGAGAGGGGGAGATACACACACAGAAAGAGGGAAACATTAATGTGAGAGAAACACATCAATTGGTTGCTTCCTGCACCCACCCTAACCAGGGCAGGGGATACAGCCTGCAACCTACATATGTGCCCTTGACCAGAATTGAACCCAAGACCCTTCAGTACATGGGCTGATGCTCTATCCACTCAGGCAAACTAGCCAGGGCTGTGGCAAATATCTTAGTTAAAACATTCATTACAGCCAGCAAGTAGGATAATGTTGGCATCTGACCTTAAAGCCTTGCTTCTCACACTGGGATCCTGGTTTCCCGAAGGGCACGTGGTGAATATGGTGGCATGTCTTCATGGAATGTCAATTTTAGAAAAAAGTTTTAATTCTTTTCCAAATGGTTGTTTGGGATTCTTTTTTGTATTTTGTTTTTGTGTTGTCTTTTTTTTTTTTGACATAAAAGTACAAGCAAAATCTATAGAAACTTCCTTTTCTATATAAACTAATTTTGTATATCTTTCATTAAAAAATACCTCTCAAGGTTAAAAAAATTATGTTGTTAAAACCAGAAAAGTTGGTGAGTTTGTATTATCAGAGGATACCCAATATCTAGTTTCCAGTTTAGTAAAATAACCCTAATTTTAAACTGGGCACACTGCTGTTTAACCAAAGAACTACATTTCCAAGTCTCCTTTGCAGTTAAATGTCACCATGTGACCAAGTTGTAGCCAATTAGATATGAGCTGAACTTTTTCATGAACCTTCTAAAAAATCTTCTTAACATTTCCCTAGGGATAGGAGAATTCAAACCTGAGAGGACTATGAGTCTCTTCGTGAGTCTCTGCCAACCATGTAGAGTCACCATAATAGCCCCAGAAAGCCACCCTCTAGGCCAGTGGTTCGCAACCTTCTGGCCCTATAAATACAGTTCCTCATGTTGTGACCCAACCATAAAATTATTTTCGTTGCTACTTCATAACTGTAATGTTGCTACTGTTATGAATCGTAACGTAAATATCTGATATGCAGGATGGTCTTAGGCGACCCCTGTGAAAGGGTCGTTCGACCGCCAAAGGGGTCACGACCCACAGGTTGAGAACCGCTGCTCTAGGCTCTGTTACATGAAGGAGAAATCTTATTCAAGCCACTGTGTGTGTGTGTGTGTGTGTGTGTGTGTGTGTGTGTGTGTGTGTGTGTGCGCGCGCGCACGGGTGCGCACAATTAAACTTAAACCCAGCTGATATAAAATGAGGAAAAGGAAGATAGTTATTAGTGTGGAAGTTGTGTCAAAATAAAACAGGTAAGTTTTTGTCACAGGAAAAGACTGTGCCCAGGACCTTGCCCACTGGACCAGGACAGTGCAAGGAATCGAAAAGCTAGAATTCATGATTTCAGCTCTGATCCTACGATGCTCACACAGCTAAATTGCTTTCAAAGTAGCTTTGAAAAACTGGATAAAAACTAGTGTTTTGCTTTTATTTCTTATTTTATACTTTAAAAATAAAAATTGTTTTAAATTTAGGGCTTGATGACTAGAAAACAAATCTGTGAAGTTGGAAAAAGGGAGATTACACAAAATGATAAAGTGGACCTGCAATAGCCAGACATCTCGAAATGTCATAGCTGAACTGAGCACAAAGGTCATACAAGCCTTCAGGAATATTATAAAGAACATGAGAAACCTTCATGGCTAAAATAAGAGGGCTTTTTTTATTTAGAGTAAGCACAAAGCACATAAAAGTTTGCTTAAATCACCCTTTAAGACAGTAACAGAATGGATGTAGGTAGGAAATAGCACATAACAGAAACTTTGACATTAATGTGACCATAATTTGCTCTGGATGACAAAGACAAAAAGCAACCAACCTCAAAGGGGAAAAAAGTACCTCTGGTTATCAAATAGATGTCGTGAAACATTCCTGAACTGGTGTATTAGTTGGTTAGGCTGCCATAAAATGTATAATGGGATAGGTTGCTTGAACAACAGAAATTTACTGTTTAATAGTCTAAATGACAGAAGTCCCAGACCAAGGTGTCATCAGCGTTGGCTCCTTCTGAGCACTGAGAAGGAGAATGTGTTCCAGGCCTCTGCCCTACTTCTGGTGTTTACTGGCAACCTTTCGCTTTTCCTGGCTTTTGCTGCATCACTGTGATGTCTGCCTTCATCTCTTCACATGGCCTTCTCAGTGTGTGTGTGTGTGTGTGTGTCCCAATTTCCCCATTTTATAAGGGCACCAGTCATATTGGATTAGGGGCCCCACCCCAATCATGTATGATTCTGTCTTAACTAATTACATCTGTGCTGACTATTCCCACATAAGGTCACATTCTGAAAAACTGAGGGGGGGGAGGAGTTAAGACTTCAACATATAAATTTCAGTGGGACACAAGTCCACCCATAACAACTGGTAAGAGACTAAGGTGAATCAAATTCTTCCCCCATTACACATGGATGCAAACATGTGGATATTAACACCTGCACCATTTAGCATTGCTTTTGATTTGCATTTATTTATACATGTCTGTGAAACATGTTAATCTACAAAGTATCTGATCACAAAAATAACCAAAATAAAATAAAAAATGCACTAAAGTTTATCTAAATAAATGCTCTTAGTAGTAATGACTAGAGAAAAATGTGTGGAGATGTGCACAATGGGCCCACATCTAAAACAGGCCCACAAAGGAGCAGCCATTCAGCCCCTCTATTGCCTCAGGTGCTGGCATCACAGACAGTCACACTCCTTCCCACCTTCTGGAAGCCCAGGCTCCGAAAAGGGATTAGACCAAGTGTTCTTGTGGGTGGGAATGGAAGAAAGAGGCAAGCCTTTGAGAGCTGCAAGAAGATGGCAGCATGAGAGACCCTATTCAAGCCAAGAACAGGGCAGGCCTATGGGAGTGTGTGGCCTCCTAGGAGAAAAGGTTACTGGGTGGGTCTACACAGGTTACAGGCAGAGCCCCAAGATCCAGAGGTTGCAGATCTGATGGGATTCCCACGCCCAACAAGGCAAAGAAGTTGTAGATGCAGCAAGTGTTGAAGGATCACAGTGGCTTGGATAATGGGCATGTTAGTGAAGCACATGAGGAACCATAACCTGGGGGACCTCCGCAGTGCTACCTGCCCCTCCCCCCATACACACACCATAGGATCTTGCCAGGCTCTGGGAGGAGAGAGTTACAGGTGAGAAACTGAGTGTCCCTGTCCTTACCTGGCAGAGCTGTCTCAGATTGAGAAGAAAAAAATCCACACACCCCAGGTTGAGGGTTAAGAATCTTGTGTATTACTCAGTCATTAAAATAGTATGAAAACATTATAATTATGCCAAGAAGTGTTGTGATATGTTATGGCAAAAAGATAGAATACAAAAATATATGGAAGTCTGATAACACATATATAAATTGTTTTAAAGTACATGGAGGAAAAAAAAAACCTGTGCAGAAATATACCAAAATGTCAATAGCTACTGTTTCCTCTTTTTCAGTGGCATGAGAAGATGGGATATTGCTTCTCTTTTTTCTGTAATATGGCTATATTACTTTTAAATTGGAAAAACAATTCAAAATAATCACATGTGACTAGAATATTCTTTCCTTTCAAACCTGAACTAAGTTCATTTTTGGTGCAAGTATAGCCTTCTACTAGTTATTTTATGATTGCTGACTTTCATGATATCTCCTGTTATAACATAGAAATTATAGTTTAGCAGTTAGTTTACTGGAATTTGAGCAGCTACAGGGAAATGTAGAAAGATTAGGAAGAAAATCTTATATTAAGGTTTTACTTGAACTTTCAAATATATTTAAGAATTAGGATTTGCTACTGATAAGCCCAAACATAATTTATCTGTTTTTATACAGGATTTAATTGAGCCTAAAATGCTTTGGTTTCAGTTGAGTAAAATTTCAGTTTGACTACCTTTTCTTTTAACAACTGAAAGGAAAATTAATGTTAAAAATGCACCTTCAAACAAGCAGACATATATGGTACATTTCCAAAAGTAAGTAAACATTTCAAGAAAAGAAAATCAGTATTTTCATTAATACACTTTTAATGCAATGATTTTAGTATACAAAGTGAAAATTCGGTATTTTTTTTTGTTTCAGTTTTATGAGGAAGAAGAGTTTAGGGAAGGCTGTTTTGCCTTTTAATTTTGGAAAACTGAATGGTGGTTAAGTTTTTATAAAAACCTGAATTTGTATCCCGGATCTCTCACCAACTTTGTGACACATTATACTTTTTCTGAACTTCATATAACTCATTTCCCCACTTGTAGCATTGGGGCAATATAAGAACTGGTGTTACTGAGACTGTGAGGATGAAATACTATATGTAAAGTACATGGGCACAGAGTGAGCACCAATATATGACTCTACTTTTACTGTTACTGTTAGGAATCGTACTTGCTCTCAGAAAGGAAGGCTTTCCTTCACTACGGGAAACAGCAAAACTACAATGTAATTCACAGAAGCCACTTTCCCTTTGGAAAACGCAGGTATTTTTTATAGTGACAACCTTAGAAAGAAAACTCAGTTATACACTTGTTCCTCGTTACTGGTATACAATATTTAATATCCAATTAATTGAGAAAGAAACGTTAACTGACAAATTTAGCAGATCCAGGGCTCCATGCATGTATAGACTAATTATCAAAAGTAAAACATCTAAAAACTAAATGTAACATGATTTTAAAATAGTGTTATTTTTTAAGATACAAAATTATAATGTTTTTATTTTTAAAGAGTGGAGATGAAGGAATTTTATCTGCATATTTTACTTTGCTCGTGGTATAAAAGTGTTATGATTTATCTACGACTGATTTATTCTTATAAAAGTCATGGGTCAAAACTAAAGTGGTATAGAGGTGTTAGGCAGATAAGATAAAGAAGGAGCATGTCGTGGTGGGACAGGGTAAAGCCTGATGCTGAAAGGCAACCAACCCTTGGGCTTAGCATGAGGGGGCAACGGGGGACAGTGGCAAGTGCGGTCACCTAACGCCATGTATCCCATCCGAAGAAGGCAGCTGATCTTGACAAAGCAGAATTCAAATCCAGTAATGCCAGACAGGCTGGTCCCCCTGCCCCCTCCATAAAGAACCAGAAACAACTCAATTTAAGAGTCAGGGACTAATTTAATTTAAAAAATATAGGGGCCAAAGAAAACACAACGCAGGGCCAAACTTGGCGCGG